CAGCTCGCTGATGTCCAGTTAATAACTAACAGTTAGCAGCTGATATGGTCTAGTGGGGGGGTTCATTAAGGTGGAGGCATTGCCATGGCGATGGCTGTGAAAGGGGGGCAGGGTGTCTCTTTGGGGAACGGAGATAAATTTGCAGTAATCATTGGTGAAACCTGTAGACAATAACTAAGCCAAAGCTTTCAGGGCCATCAGTTAGAATTACTAAACATTAACATGACGATGTGGCATACTCACATCTGAGATGGGCTCCAGCCGCCCACCCCCCATGACCCTGCACTGGATAAGTGGAAGAGGATCAATGGATTCATGAATGGATGGAAGAGGATGGATGGATGCATGGATGCATGGATGCATGGATGGATGCATGGATGGATGCATGGATGGATGCATGGATGGATGCATGGATGCATGGATAGATGGATGCATGGATGGATAGATGGATGCATGGATGGATAGATGGATGCATGGATAGATAGATGGATGCATGGATGGATGCATGGATGCATGCATGGATGCACGGATGGATGCATGGATGCATGGATGCATGCATGGATGCACGGATGGATGGATGGATGGATGGATGCATGGATGCATGGATGGATGGATGGATGGATGGATGGATGGATGCATGGATGGATGGCCCACACCAGATTTATGTCACTATTGAAACTAGACCTCTATAGCAGAGTATCCATGTTAGTGAATGCTGTGTGTGGACTTTAATCCTTTAAATGCTGAATCATGTTGAGAGGACACTAGCAAAAATATTTGGCCAAATCGTTTCTCTATGATGCTTGAGATCGTGCTTGAGGAAGTGCGAAGCGTACATTATTAGTCTGAAGGGATCTATGGATCACTTCAATCTGCAGCTCAGCGTCTGAGTGGATGCCTGCATGTAAAGCGAACATGGGAGGAGAGGATAAAGGGAGGGGAGGAGGGGAGCAGAGGGCAGGTCTGGTCGGGGACCAGATGTCCTCCCAGTGGGGGAGGAACGATGAGGTGAGGATGCAAGGAAGGAGGGAGGTATAGAGATGGGGCCTCTCAGCAGTTGCCATGCCATGCCTGTTGTATACATAATGTTCAAATTGTTGCGCAGTGCTGATAAATCGTACTTTCACTGAACAGGGAACAGTTACGTTTCTGTAACGGCTCCAACGACACAAAGCTCGCTGCGCTTGTTTAGACCTTTAAATCGCTCCGATTAATTACAGAAAGACAAGACTTGACCTTTGAACAGTCACTGAAATCACACACATCCCTGTTATTCTGCAACACTTTGCTCGTTTGAATTGTAAATGTGAGTCTCTGCATGCACTCTCCTCCTCCTCCTCATCTGAGCTTACATGAGTGATTAGGCTGCAGAGCTAAATGTAAAAGTGTCCTTGTTCTCTCGCCCACACACATACACGCACACACCTGAATCACTGTCCTTCATTTGTTCTTATAACTGTGCTGCTCAATACAGCTGCCAAACACAATTGTTACTCACTGTCTACATCTTACCTGCGCTAATATATTCACGTTTGAAAAACTCACTAAATTGTGCCTGTTGTTGCTAAGATTTGCAGATTTGTTGCGTTACATTTAAAGGGAAAAATCTCATCAGGCTGCAGTTTGGCATAAATCTGCAGGACACACACACACCTCCATATCAAACAGCTGTTTAGCATATAGGTTTATAACTGCAGTCCTGCAGGATAAAGCAAACACCTAATTGCCCAATCACTCAATTGGCTTGTCGATGCTTCCACATTTGAATGAGGTGCGTTACTAACTAGAGCCTCTATGCTGGAACGGCCACTTTGCTGCATCCTTTTCATCTGCATAGAAACCGGCTGACCAATCTAAATGGGCGCCACAGTTTTCCACACAAAAGCAGCTCTTTAAAAAAAACAATAAAATGAATAAAGTGTGAAAACTGCGCAGCAGGTCAATGAGTTCAACCAGCACACAAAGCCAAGAACATGACTTCAAACCACAGTCGGTTTGGATGAGACTGACTCGAATCAGCAGAAGTGTTGCAGCTTCTACATGAAAACGATGAAAATGAGCCGTGCTGCAGGAAATATGTCAGCGTGTCGTTATTACAATGCAACAGTCGCATGTGTGTGCGACGGCTTCACCAAAACAACCCACGAAGTGATGCAGCTTGGGTTGCATCACAGCAGCATATCAAAGCTTTTGCATCTCCCAGAATAAAAAATTCATTTCTGCTTCATCTAAGTGACTCACTTCTCTGAAGTCGACCGAGTTCAGTTTAGCTTCATGTTTGGCCCTATCTGCCGAAAATCCAATTCTTCTAATGAAGTGTCCGTCATCTATAGGTGTGAGTCCTCTCCCACCCCGCCCACTCAGTGTGTGTTCACAGAGGTCGCACAAAGACTGAAGACTCCCACGATGATATAAATACACGAACACATTCAACAAACTATATATAATTCAGATCGGAGCAAGAGTAGAAAGTGCAGACACGGGAGAGCAACTCTCCTACATCATTTACATATGTGACGAGAACATGTTTGTAAAGACTGTTTTTTTTAATGGTTAAAAAATGTAAACACTAACTCCCGGCTACACGAGTCAGTCATCAGTGATCAATCACAGCTGTGTTTTAAAGGATTCATCGTTCACCTTTCAGTTCTCATGTCTGATTTCTGGATCACATGCAGAGACGACAATAAAGAAAAAAGGACATATTATAGAACTCAGTTGGCTTTAATAATATTTCTTCCTTAAGTGCATTAATATTATCAACTTAAATGTCAAATTCAAGATTATGTCCCAGAAAAGAGCAACCATAAAACCAACACTAATCACAGAGAAAATATATCATCCATCTCAGGTCAGCGAGTGCTGCACTGAATACTGGAGGTGTAAAATGGCTGGTATGGCCATGCATCTGTCCCTGGGCTTCAGTCTGTACATACAAAGACAACATACTGCACTCGCATGCATGTTAATCACCATTTTTTAATTTTTTAATTAATTTTCCCAGGTTTACCAGGTATGCCTGTTCATTTTTTCTTTCCTTTTAATTATAGTGTCCAAAGATGTTTTCATTACACAACAATGACAGCATATCATGTTGTCAAGAGCAAGAGATCCAAATGTCTGCTGTTCCAACAGACCAGCTTAACATCATCATTCAGGGCAGGATACCAAAATAAAACCGGCGCACTGAGCTTGTGTTGAGTCTGGGCTGCTGAGGGTGAAGAGAACGGGGTCTTTGTCTATAATTCATAGAGTCAAATGGAAGTGAGCAGTCTGTCCTGTCAATGCATGTCTGCACTAAAGCTCTCACAGTAGAGCCAGCAAGAAGTGGGGTGTGAAATTAAAATACTCCTCAAGTAGTGTACGACACTCAACAACAAAAAAGCATGTGTGCACACAAAGATGTTGCTCTAAATCAACAGATATCAAAAGCAGACAGGTTAGACGAAGCCCTGCAGGCGGATTCACAGACAGCTATTCCTGGGTGACTGAGAAAGATGATAATAAACATCATTTTAGTCTCAAAGTCTTGCAAAAAAAATAAATACTTTTTATATTTTTGATGCTAGCAAAAACAAAGAATCATTAGAAATGTGACATTTTTGGAACACATTGCACTCAATTGGTGGAAGAGATATAACCTTTGTCTTTAGTTAGGGTCATGAAAATAAATGTTAATAATTTAAGGAGGTGGTTTTTTGGGGGGAGGGGGGGTGTCTTTGGACAAAGAGCGTCTTTTATTATTATTTTTTAACAAGGCAACATCAGTTAACATGATGATAAAAAAAATTATGTAACAGAACAAAAAGAAATGTTGAAAATTGGGTTGTTTTGCAAAGAAATGTGAAAAATAAACAAAGACAATCTTCAGTTTTTAGTTTTGTGCAAAGCTCTCCATAATTGTTAAAATAAAAAAAATAATAATAACTTTAATTTTTTCTACAGTATGAAAAAAATGTTGTTTTTTTTTAAAAAAACCCCAGAGTTTTTATGTTTATTTTCATACGTGTTAAAGTCAACAAACAGCAATAACAAACGCTGAATGCTCCCCATGGCTCTTAACAACCGCAGTCAATTCCCCCTCCATAAACAAAGGCTTCCCTTATCTTTCCCGTCGTTTATTGCCCTCAGGAGCAGGCTTTACTGAAACTGGAAAAATAAATCAAACTTAAAACACTTTACATTTTCTCTAGTTAATCGCGACTCTTTTCTTCCAGTTTCCTGATGCTCCATGAAAGCAGGTTCGTTTTGGTCAACGTCCGTTTCCACCTTAAATTCATTTAAAAAAAACAAACAAAAAACATAAATTCTGCTTTACCTCATACTGGAGATACTGTTTCCTCCACTCGGGAGTGATATGGGACGAAAGATGCTCCGCGAATTTCATTTTGCCGGAACAAGTGTCCCCCTCAAAGCTCTGTTAAATCCGAGCGGCTGTCCGCTTCCCCGTCGACGCGACTTTTATTATATCAGTCAACTTGCTGGCTCAACGTGCGGCGCGTCAGCCCGGCACACTGCGCTCCTGCTCACTCCACTTCTGGCTCGTCCCGGTCTGCGCACTCCCTGCAGATCCCGTCCCACATACTATTTCATGGGTGGGACAACGAGAACAACAGTGGCCTCCCTTTAACAGGTGGTCGGGCGACAGGTTACTGGAGCCGGTGAAAGTGGCTCAGTGACTTTGCTCGGTCCCTCCCTGGGCAAGTCTGGGGACACTGCGGTCCGCCATCGCTATGAGCCACTGTGACGTGGTTGCGTCAGCAGAGCGCGCAGTGTAACTCGGACACTGTTGGGACCTCGTGAAAACTGTTAGTGGTGCACCCCGGGACCCCTCACAGTCTTTGCTTCACTTTATTTCCTTTGGGGTTTTGTACAGTAGTTAGAGAGACAACTGTCTGCGTGCGTTTCTACAAAAAGAAGAAGGAATAAAGTTACACTCCTGG